CGGGGTTTGCGGTGGATCACTCCGACCATGCGGGATGCTCTGGGGTTTGTGGTGGTTCACCGTGACCCCGATGGCTCTCTCCGGGGTTCGCAGTGGATCACTCCGACCATGGCGGGTCACTCTGGGGTTTGCAGTGGTTCACTGTGCCCGTGGCGGCCCACTGTGGGCACCTCGGTGTATTTCCCCAGCCAGTCGCCTGTTGCCAGGCTCTTGCGTGGACTCCGTGGCTCAGGCTGTGAGCAGTGCCAGTGTGCGCGTCTCCAACAGTGATTTCCCGTTGTCCATGGGAGTGGGACCGCCGGGCCACACGGCAGCTCCATGCTGTCTCCACAGAGGCCGCCAGACCCATTCCTGTCTGCGTGCCCGAGGGCTCCCTCTCCCCGCAGCCTCTGACACACTTGCTGTTCTGCACTGGGTTAGGTGACACCGCACGGCAGCCTCACTCACGGCTAGTGAGCGCAAGCATCTCATGTGCTTTTACTTTTCCGCTGCTCGGTTCGGGCTTCCTTCGGGAAGTCTGCTCAGATTGACTGCCCGTTTTTAAACTGTTTTTATTTTGCAGGTGATCTGTTTGCGTTCTTTGCCAATTGATTTTCTACAAAAGTCCCAAGATCAATCATTGGGGAAAAGACAGTCTTTTCAAAGAAAGGTGCTTTAAACACCAGATATGCCAAAGAATCAAACTGGACCCCTGTCTCTCTCCATATATATATATATATATATATATCCCCTCAAAATATATTAAAGACTTAGGAAGAGAGTGGAGGAGAAGGGACTGTGGTGCGGCCCTCTCCCCGGGGGGTGATTTCTCACTTTCCCTCTTACTGTTTCTGTCTGGGGAATGCACATGCCCTGTGGCAAAAACCTTAAAAAGGGCAGATTCAGGACTTAAATATAAAGTCCAAAACTATGAAACTATTTAAAGAGCATATGGAAAAAGGATGAGATATTGTTTGAAAGCACACAGGGCAACACTAGGATAGACAAGACTGTGACATTAGGCTCAAGCTCCCTCCCGCCCAAGAGGGGGCCTAGAGGGAGGAGACAGCCACGGAGGGCCGGTGTTTGCAGATCACTTCTCCCTAGGGATCAGCAGCCAGAATTTACAAGAAACTCAAATAGCTCACCCCAAACAAAAGATTTTAATAGGAAATGTTTGAGCTCATAAAGTAGGGAAAAAACTCGAGATTTGTTGGCAGATGGACAAAGATCAGAAGTTTGAGTTCAAATCCGTGCCAACTGCCAGCATTGTTTTGAATCACAGTCTTCTTGCCTGTGTCTCTGCATCCGGGCTGCGGAGAGAAGCGGCCCAGGAAGGGCTCTAGGTATTTCAGGCCGACTCTGGCTTGGGCAGCAAGTGTGCTGGCAGGGCCGCGGAGCTGGGAGGGCTGCGTCCATGGCCGAGCCAAGGCCGAAGGTCTGGTGCAGAACTCCCTCCTCCTCACTCTTTCTCTGAGGCCTTCAGGGGACGGGTGAGACCCTCCCACGCGAGGGGGGACCGATTCACCCAAAGCCTACGGAGTCGCACATTACTGGCCTCTGAAAACGCCGCATCAGTACTGCTGTGGGACCCGTGGGACCACGGCAGGGACCACGGTGGGGACCACGACGGGGACCGTGGCCAGCCCGGCTGCTACGAGTAGCCACCACAGGCCCCTGGAAGCCCCGGCGGTCCTGTTTTGTCCTCAAAAGGCACAGGGGCTC